CAAAACCTCTCCCCCACCCCCAAAGCACTGGGAACGAAACAGTTTGTCTCTCCTATCTTACATCCTTCTCTCTTACCTGCCATGAGTTTGTTGTTCCCTGTAGCTACTGGCTGAGTTGTTAAATGCAAGTTGTTAAATCTAAAAAATTGGACTCTAGCACCTAAAGATGTGTAATTTTTTTCTGAAGCCGTGGTCCCAGTTTCTCTCCCCACCCTGTCCCTGGGCAGAAGCTGTACCACACCTATATTTCTACAACTCCAAGTGCTATGTTCAGGCTAAATTGCAGAGTGCTGAATGTGTGCTTGGTGTGGATGGATTTAATGCACAAAAGAAAAATGACTGATTTTTCAAATTAGGTTTCCCCTTGGTGCTCAGTGTGTTTCCTTAGGAATGGTGTACACTAATCAGTTCACCTAACCTTGAAAACATGTTAAGTTAAAACTCAATAGAGCATTTATGCTGTCTAGGAAGGGTGTGCGCTTTATATAATAATCTTTTTTTTTTTTTTAAAGAAAAAGAAAGAAACAGCTTTAGAAGACGTTAAACAGTACATTGGGTATATTGATTGGATAACTGCTGATTATGTGTGTTAAGCTGCACTACATTAGGAATGTTAATTGGAAGTAAATCACTTGTACAAAACAGCACATTATATTTTATTAATCAAATCATACTTTCCACAGTGTCTCTTCTCTCCAGGGTTGGCTTCTGCTGTAGATCATTTTTGTTCTCTGACCTGCATTGCATAACTTCTCCTCACCCTAGAAATGCAAATTTGCAAACTGTTTAAAAGTTTCTATGAAGCCTAGGTTTGTGTGCTTCACCGCAGGCAAGGTAAGGACCTAGGCCCAGGGGCAAGTTCACATTGCATAATTATACTGCTATGATTCCACATTAATTGCCACGGTTGCAACCTATGGGATTTGTAGTTCAGTGAAGCACTAGACCTCTCTGGCTGAGAATTCTAAATTCCCCTCCCTACACTACTGATCCTAGGATTACAGAGATGGAACCGCAGCAGCTAAAGTGGAATCATAGTGCTATATTTTTATAGTGTGAACAGACCCCAGGAGTGGGCTAAGTGTTACAAATTAGATAGATTCAAAGACATAGCCGTCTTAGTGTGGAAAATCAGTATGCAAAGGGATCTTGTAGGACCTTTGAGACTAATTGAAAGAAAGAAGTTGGTAGCATGAGCTTTTGCAGACTTGAGCCTACTTCCTCAGATGTGCGTTTGGAGTGGAGAGTCCAGAGGCAGACCTATATAAGCCATTTGTGCGTGAGAATAAACTCATTTTGAAATGTGATGGACAACCAAAAAGACAAACCAATGGGTCCCAGAGCAAATCAGGCCCAAACTCTTACTGGAGGCTAAGATGAGTAAACTCAGGCTTTTGTACTATGGCCATATCCTGAGACGAAGTGACTTACTGGAAAAGATAACAATGCTTGGTAAAATAGGAAGCAGTAGGGAAAGGGGACAACCATTTTATGGGTGGGTTCAATTAAGGAAGCCACAGCTGAAGTTTGCAAGACCTGAGCAGGGCTGTCAATGACTAGAACTCTTAGATGTTTCCCATTCAAAGGGTTGCCAAAAGTCAAAATCGACATGACAGCAAACAACAATGATATATACACAGGATGCCATATATCTCACACTACATTCATTTTTAACATTTTTCCCCCGATGAAGAAGCCAGTGGAGCTTCAAAAACTTGCAACATATATAATGTTCATTTTGGTTGGTCAAAAAAAAGGTATAATTGTTTTGTGGATTTTGGATGATACTCTACTACATTCCAATATCCATTCATATGGTTATCTACTCTCCTTGGCTATATGAAACAGCTTTCTTCCTGCTGCCTTTGTCCCCACAACAACCATCATTAAAATTGTACTTGTCACCTGTCTCCATACTCACCAGGTTCTGAATTTGAATTGACATTCTCTTCCTGGCCGCTTTCCCAACCACACACAGAAATCAGCAATACTGTGGCAGAGTTAATCCTGAATTTGGTATTCAATGTTTTACATCTTTACACTTGAGAATCTTACCTAGTTCCTTCAGAGTTGCCTTGAAAAAGTCTTAACCTTCTGATTTTTTGACTGCATTTTCCATTTTGATGGATATATATTCAGACACAGGTCTCATTCACTGCACTGAGACTTGCTCCCAAGTGTGTGTGTGTGTTTATGGTGGTTTGTAGACTAAATTATAATAATTGCAAAATGGGAGCAAATTGCAGAGTTCAGGTAATTAAAGACTATAAGAACTCTGTACGATCGCCCAGTGGATGATCCTCCTAGTTCATCCTTTCCATAACCTACTGCCTAACACTTATGCTGGACTACCATCCCTGTCAACCCCAGCCAGTTTTCTGACTGAGGATTATGGGCTGTACAACATATCTAGTAGGCACATCTAGTAAGCCATGAAACCCATTGGGTGACCTTGGGCAAGTCACATGCTCTCAGCCTCAGGGGAAGGCAATGGCTAACTTCCTGTGAACAAATCTTGCCAAGAAAACCCCATGATAGAGTCACCTTGGGGTAGCCATTAGTCGGAAACAACTTGGAAGATACACAACAACAGCATGACACGTTGCCTTTTAAATAGATTGCAAGGTCCCTGTGCACTGCTGAACAGTATAAAAATATTGTTTTTTTTTCAAAACTGAACATGGACTTTCACTGCTTCCTTGGTTTTTGCTTTTTTTTTTGGAGGAAGCCAAAACCCAATAAAATCCACAGGCGAATCTGGAGATACGTCTCAAGGTGCTCAACAAACGAACAATGTATGCATAAAAAGCCAGTGTACAGCTGTCATAATCATTTCAAATATTGTAAAGTGGTGGATGCATTGTTTTACAAGATTCATAGATTAATGTTTTGTCTGTTCATATGATATTATATAGCCCCTGCAGAATGTCTTTGAAAAGCATAGACAGGATGAAATGTGTTGGGCTTTTAAATATAGAAATCATTCATTTATTGAGCATCATAAGATGCGTCCCCAGATTCTTTTGCTTTTGGGGCATTTTTGGCAAACCATGAAGCCTGCGGAAGGTCCTAGCAGCAGAAAATTTGAAGTTGTCCATCTCGGAGCTAAGAATAGCCAACCTGCCCCCCCCCCCATCCAACTTCACCCCTGTGTTTTTGAACAATTCAATATGTCATCCTAACCAAGTAGCAAATGCAAGTTAAATTCCTGGAGTGAAAGGCTGCTGATAAAAGGCACAAGTGAAAAATCTAGTTACCCTAAATTTAGATGTCAAGGCTTTTTTAATGCAATGAGGAGTCATCCTGCAATTGGGGTGTGTGTGTGTGTATGACAGTGAGCAAAAGAGAGACTAGGAGGCACCAAAAAGTGCATTGCACTGCAGTGTGGATTGTATTTGTTGTTGATGTTGGGTGGCTTCAATTCCTTTTGGACTTATGTGTGCATTACTGGTAAGATTTCCTATCTTAACGTAAACATTCCTTTGACAAACTGCTTGCTTGCCTTCAACAACTCCTCTGTTCCGACCTTCATGCTGTTTTCAGGAGTGTATTATATAAGAAGCCAATCATTATTTTTTTTTTAAAAAATGAACTGATCTTTAGTAGAAGAGTGAAATCCTAGCAGCGATTTTAAAAACAAAATGTGTCAGGTGGGTGTGTTGCAGTGTCAAAGGCCCTGGGGTGGAACTGAGCAATTTTGGTAGGAACATGGCCAGATTGTGGTTGTTTAGTGGTAGCATTGTTGTTATTATTAACTGCCTTTACCTTGGCCTCCACTGTGAATGATGTGTCCTCAGCTGTCCTCCTCAGGCCTTGCAAGCTCATGACGTTGGCCTCCTTGATCCAGTCTGTCCATTTGGCATGTGGTTTTTCTCTCTTTCGGCTGGCCTCCACCTTTCCTAGCATTATTGTCCTTTCTAGTTGAGTGATGCCTTGTCATGATGTGGCCAAAGTATGACAACCTCAATTTAATCATCTTGGCTTTCAAGGAGAGAATTAGAAGTGGAATGGAAGTGAAAAAGAATAAATATAAACCAGAATGGCCTAGTGATTTAAGCGCTGGACTAGTGTTGAGTGTTGGACTATGACTCTGGAGACCAGGGTTCAAATCCCTGCTCAGCCATGGCAACCCACTGGGTGGCCTTGGACAAGTCACACTCTCTGCTTTTGAAGGAAGAAATACCAAACCCTACCAAGGAAACCTGTGATAGATTCACCTTGTTGTTGTTATTGCTATCAGACTTTAAGTCAACCTCAGCTCATATTGTTGATGTTGTTGTGTGCCTCATTCCCAACTGACAGCAACCCTAAGGTGACCCTATCATGGGGTTTTCTTGGCAAGTTTCTTCAGAGGGGGGTTGCCATTGACATCACCTGAGGCTGAGAGTGTGTGACTTGCTCAAGATCACCCTCCCGTTGTACATCCCTCCACCTTTCCTAGCATCATTGTCTTTTCTAGTGAATCATGTCTTCTCATGATGTGGCCAAAGTCTGACAACCTCAATTTAGTCATCTTGGCTCTTGGGGAAAGTTCAAGCTTGATCAGTTCTAGGACCCATTTGTTTGTCTTTTTGGTTCTTCATGCTATCCTGGGCACTCTTCTCCAGGACTGCATCTCAAAGGAATTTATTTTCTTTCTATCCGCTTTCTTCACTGTCCAGTTCTCCCATCCATACATGGTCGATGGGGAATGTTGTTGTTGTTGTTTTCCTTGTGTGTGTGTGTGTGTGTTTTAAAGTACAGCTGATTTCTGCGATGTTTCCTTCCAGTGAGATGCAAAGGTGTGAGGTGTGCCTGCACGTTTTATGCAGAGCCCTGGAGTCCTTTCACACTACACACTTGTACCACTATCATGGGGGTTTCCTTGGCAAGTTTCTTCAAGGGAGGGGGGTGCCATTGCCATTGTCTGAGGCTGAAAGTGTGTGACTCGCCCAAAACTCACCCAGTGGGTTTTCATGGCCCAGCCAGGATTCACACCTTGGTCTCCAGAGTCATAGTGTGATGCACAAACCACATGCAGCCAAAGTTCGTGCTCCCTGGCCTTTGGCTGCTGCGGCCCCTCATCTCCTGTAGGGGGAGCTGGCACACAGCCTCTGGCAGCGCATTAAAAGCTGCAGTTGCAGAAGCGGCAGAGAGCAGACGGGCCCCTTTGGAAACGCTGCAATGAGTCCGTGTTTGAGGGGTCATGGCCTTTCCTGGGCCTGGAATAGCTTTGCCCTGACAGTTTCCAATCTCCAGGGAGCATCCGGCAAGGAGCATGGAAAGTGCACATGTCTTGCACTCTTAGCCATGGCTCCTCATTTCTCTCCCTTTGCTATTCCTTAAGCACGGGGCTGCTGCATGTTCTCACGGTCCCATGCTTGGGTGCTCCGCCAGACCCCAGACCTCCCTTTCCCCCCCTACATTCCCGTCTCATTTTCCTTATTTCAAATGCAGCCCTTCTGAATCTTTCATGAGATGCCTTGTCAGGGGCAAGGGGACTCCTTCCAGAGCATGAGGTTCCTTTCGGTGGAAAGGCAGAGGCATTCATTACTCTTGCCAGCAGTTTTTTTTGTGTGTGTGTGTGTGTGTGTGTATTATTTATAATGGAGGAAAGTCTTTGTCTTTTTGGATTGGTTTTGTTTTGTTTTAAATATGGCTGATGTCTGTGATGGTTATTTTTAGCGAGATGCAAAGCTGTGAAGAGTGCTTGCAAGGTTTATGCAAGCCTGGAATCCTTTCACAATACACACTGGTACCGTACCACTGTGGTTCCCTTTTTAACAGCTGTGGTTGCATCCTGTGAGATTTTAGGATTTGCAATTTCGGGAAGGGTACAGGCCTGAGCCTATAGACCTGAGCAAGTAGGGAGCCTTGGAGACGTCTCATTTGCAGGGTCATCATGAGTCGAGGTTGACTCGAAGGTAGCTATCAACAATAATTTAGAATTCTCCATCGGAGAGTTCTAGTGCCTTACCAAACTACAATCTGCACGATTTCATAGGATGTAGCCCCTCATGGGTTTAAAGCCAAGCCTTCCAACAGGCTTGTTCTCCACTGGTCTGACTGGGCTGCACACCTGGAGCCTTTTCACATAATTACAGCACTGTGATTCTACTTTTAATTAACTAAGGAATCATCAGTGATGGAAAGAGAGAGGGAACATACTGTTTTCAGACAACTTCCCCTTAACCTTGTGCAAAACAGCATCCAGCAGCAAAGTAATGCTTACAGGGAAAGCTAACTAGGGATATGTCCATACTGCAACATTAAAGCAGTTTGACACCACTTTAACTCCATCCTGTGGAATTTTGGGAGTTGTAGTTTGGTGAGGTATTCAGCCTAGTCTGTTAGAGAGTTCTGGTGCCTCACCAAATTCCAAATCCCAGGATTTTGTAGAATAGAGTCATGGCAGTTAAAGTGGTGTCAAACTGCATTATTTCTAGTGTGGATACACCCTATTAAAAATATGACTGACTTGGTTCTGCTTTGGAGTGATGCTCCAGGGAGAAAAGGAGTAAAGTAGTTTCTAAAGTGACAGTGTGGAGGGGATGTTGTATGAGTAGCAACGGCTTGATAATAGTGCTAACACAACCTGCGGCTGGTTGGTTGTTGGGATAGTTGCACAACTGCATTCTTGACATCTCTGTCAATAGCAATGTATATGGAAGCTGGATAAGGACTCTTAATTTTGCCATTTGATTTCATGGTGAAATGACAACACAGACACCCTCCCCTTGCTGCAGCATAAGAATTACCTTGTTTTGGGTATCTTTCTCCTTCTCTCAGGACTAGCAACACCTCTCTCTTAATTGAAACAACCACTTAGGAAATATTACCGTATTTTTCG